CTTCTATAAAAGGATACCACCTTGAAACATACATGGATCAACTCGATTTGTGATGCGGAACACGATCATAATGTTGAGTTTTATCTTCTCAGTACCATCGAATGATAAACATTTAGGATATCACTGATTTTTAACCAACATCAAAGTTCTGATGGCAGTCTGTGCTTATTTGAGATGTCTTCCCTCATCGATATTTGAAGTTTCATTTATGAACGTTGTAGCTAATCTGAAGTGCACTTAATCGATAAAAAATGATAATATTTGCTCTTGCCATTGAAGACATTGACGATTCACTCTAAATCTTTCTAATAGTCTAAAGATGGATTTTTGAAGGTAACTTCGAATTTATATATGACATTATCTAATGATAACGAACAAATTCAAATGTACGTATGTGATCTCAACAATGAAGCTCTTAGATATTCATTGAATCGACAACCACTTAATGAAATGAACAATAATTAAGGTAATAGTTATCATTTGATATTTGCTGACATATTCTTGCGATTTTCTGTTAAGCATAACAGTGCAATAATTGATATACCAAGTTTTCAATTTCTTCTAATAAATTGTTTTTTTTTCTTTTGTTTTATTGATTTTTTCAACATTTGTTATTAAAACAAGTGTTGAAAAAATAAAAAGATAAATTGAATAAATCATTGTTTCAAAAATTTGTATTCAAATGCAAGTTTTCTTTGTTTTACAATCTTGCATGATAATAAATTGAAATTTTTCGACATTAGTTTGAATTGTTTTTTTATTTACATTTTCGTTTTACATACATTTTACAAAATTTTGAGTTATGTTGATGGTGTTACAGTTTATTGGAATTCAAGATTTTCAAATTCCGATATTAAACAATCTCTTAATTTGTTTCTTCTTGCTTTAGCGAAACAATACCATAGCAGTGGCGAGCATTATTACGACATGGAGAAGCTGTTATTTAAATATTGACAACATATTAAAAAAGTGCTTCTTTAGCTCTAACTTATCAATATAAACGTTGTATTGAAGTTAAATGAATCGATGAATCCGTCGTCTAGTGCAACTCCGATACAAATTATACCAGTAAAGACTCTTGATTTACGTGAGACTCGTTATTCGATCGATAATCAAAGAAAAGAAAACAAGCAAAGGCAAATACATAGAAAAAAAAAACCTTTTTGAGTGATAATAGATAGTTAAATATCATACATACAAGTATCGCTTAGTATATTGCTGCGTTTAGTAGATACTTTAAAGTAATCGCATAAAAAACTTCCATAGTCTTCATGTGATCATTGCACAGTGATTCTCATTGATGATAATTATAAGATTCTATCACATGTGTGTGCGTGTTTCGTTTTCTCTGCATGAATGCTCCCACTACGTGCGCAAATCAAAACCCAGGTAAAAGATAAATATTTTTGACTATAAGAATAATCAAATATGAGGTATGTATTTGAGTGAAAAGTTAACTTCATATAGATTCGAAAGTTGTTCATTTGCTTTTTTTTGTCTTCTTGTTCTAGATCATTATAATCAATTCAAGAAGTGTTTACCGATCTGAATATTTGACGAAATGGCATGTAAACAAGTCAAATCAATGGACAAAATTGAATTGAGTGAAAAACATCTCGATGCTCTCAAGAAAAGATCAAATCTCAGTGAAGCAGAGATTCGGGAACAATTCGGTTCGTATCTCGTAACATAATTGATATCACACTCATAAATTTCTCTAAGCTAACATCAATGCTCACAATTAAATTTGTGAGGGATTGCTCTACTGAACTAGATAAAAATATTAAATATGAAATTTAATCTTAGAAAATTTTCAATGATATTTTTTAAAGCTTTGGTTCGAACTACAACTCGCTATATTTTTTATTTGCAGAAGATTTTCGTGCGTCGACACCCACCGGGCAACTCACAAAGGAACAGTTCATCAAATTATGTAACCAAACAGCACCTCAACCCAATGATCCTAATACCGTTGATATGACCAATCGACTTTTCGCATTTTTTGATCGAGATCATTCCGGTAAACATTTTGTATGGATTTTTTCTTTAAATGATCATGTTGTTGTTGTTTAGGAAAAGTTGACTTTAATGAATTTTTGATGGCTGCGTCGTTGATGACACCTGGTACACCGGCGCAAAAGCTTGCTTTAATGTTTATGTTATGTGATTTCAATCAGGATGGTTTTCTTTCACGATCTGAGGTTGAAAACATTTTTCTTGTATCTAAGTCAACTACTAAATCGGTCGATCAGAAGGAATTCGAAGCTTTCAAGACTCATTTGGATTCAGTCTTTGCGCTATTTGATGTTAATAAAGACGGCCAAATTAGTCAAAAGGAATTTCACAATCTCTGCCATAATGACGAAGTTTTCAAAAGAATGTTAGCCTGATTCATTTCAAAGCTGGTGTTTAAATGGAAATTTATTATTTGCAAAATAATTCAAGTCCTCAATAGAACAATTAATTGAACTTTAACAATTTTCTTATTGTCATGCATTTTCTTTCGAAAATTAGATGATATAGTCTATAGAAATGAATAAAACATAGTTGCTCAACAGTCTCTTTTTTCTTTGTTTTTTTTTTCACTAAAATCAATCAATTTGATTTTATATCACATGCACCAAAATATGCCAAGTTTCAAGCAATTTTTTACAACTTCGCAGTAACTTCGGGCAGAAATCGAATTTTGGAACATCATTTGCCTTTTTTATCACGAGAAACAAAATAAAAACAACCAGACGATGTTATTCTGACATGATTAGAATTGGACAATGGCAGCTCGGCTAGAAATTGCCTGTTGGGGAAAGAATCAAGTCACGATGAGTTTCGTTTTTTTCTTCCACGGTCACTACCTCTAGCACTTCAAGGGTAGAAGCACTGTCTGCATCAGTTTTCGAACTCTCTATCAAATTTTTAGCTTCTCCCACCGTGTGTTTGTTCGCATGACAGATGAGTATGTTCCTTTCTTGTTCAGAAGCGGGTTTTTTTTCACTCAGAAATGGTTGAATCTGACGATGTTTAATGCGCCAGTTCAGAAGATAAGACTTTTGTCAATTAAAAGAAAAAGAAAATTTTTTTTTTTTGTCAAACTTATTTAAGTCAGTTGCTTATATTGAAGGTTAATTACTATAGATAAAATTCGTTCACAGCAAATCTGATATTTGCATAGTTATTCATCTCAACCTAACTTCAATGAATACGGTTATCATACGAAGAAACAGCTTATAAGAAAATAGTAGTTGAATACACATTTTATGTTTTCTTTTATGGCTATTTTGTAAAATGCCTTTAGATCTTATGAAGAAAAGAAATGTGTTCTCACACTCATCAGAAATCATCACAGAATAAACTCCAACGTCTACACATGAAGTTATATTTGTTTCAATTATGAAAGACAATTTTGAGATAAAAACCTTTTTTGTATCTCTAGAAGAAAGTCAATGGTGACGAGACCTTCTAACGGATACATCACGGAATTTTATTTAATATCTTACTATTTTATGAAGATCTCTTCATGTGTTACATGCCTAAATGTGTACTGCGTCCATTAGATCCTATGATCATGAAAATGTTTTTTTTTTCGTATAGAAAATCTAAAAAACTTTTACAGAGTTAGTTTTAAACGAGCATTAAAATGACTCTATGACATGTTTTCAAAAAATAAACACAGTCTTTAATAGATAGTTGTTTCCTATTAGCTTTTTCTCAAGATTTTTCTAACAGAATATTGTTAAAACATTCTCTATATAGTAGTTCCTTCGTATACGTAAAAAGGCTATTTCAGAGAAGAGTTTTCCAAGTTGGCGACAAACTTCAGCTGTTCCGAAAGGTCTTATCCATGAAACATGTAGAGATCAAAAGTATGTAGTTTTGGAAAAATTTTGTGTTAGTACTCAATTGTTCTGAAATACAGAATTGAGCAGAGTGGAATGTGATATAGTCAATAAATAGTCTAGGCCTATGGACAACGATGCTTTTTAACTCAAAAATAGCAGCGATAAATACCATTGATTATAAAAAAATTGAACAAAATCCATATCTGTATCGAATTTAGTCTAAACACGAAATTCGCATAAATTTATCCGAGATCATGGTAGAGACCTTAGAGTCTATGAGCACCATATATATTTCTTAAGGGTTATAACCAGTATATGGTCCTTCAACACATGAATATTTCTGAAAAACTTGACTTCTTAAATACCATTCGATGCGTCACGAAAACTCTCTAAAACCAGAATATAAGTAGCATCCTGAGTCAAGATAGGTCACTCAATCTGGTAAGGTCCTCACTTCAGCATCCTTTTACGTAATCCTCGAAACATCCAATAAAGAACTACTTCAAATATTACAACGAGATATTATTGATATACGATCTGTGAACATACATCTACATATATTACAGCTTGTGGGACGATAGAGTAGACATTTCTACCCTACATACTTCAACATTTCGTTTAGATCATGTTTCACAAAAACAAGCAGTGTATTTCAACAAGTAGACTTTTCTCGAAAGTTCTTTTTATCATGCTGAACATCCTTTCTGGATGACTCTTTATACTCACAAGACATTGTTAAAACGAATAAAACGTGTGATCTCTATTTAAAAATCAAAGTAAAACAGACACAACAGTGATTCGAATAGAAAAATAATATATAATTCTGTCAGACTGAATGGATTCTTTTTTTACTCTTCTTATTATGAAAAGAAATAATTGATTTCTTCTTTCTTGCCAACCAACGAAACAACAAAAATATAACATTATTTTGTATATTCTAACTACCAAATAATCAATAAAGTCAAGTCAAACAAAACAAAAATAAATAAACTTACTAATGTTCATGTCAACTCGACAAAATATTATAAAATCCACATGAATGATAAAGAATTCAACCGCTTTGTTTTTTTCTTCTGATACTATCAACTCAATTTTATTCTCAGCATGATATTAACATCTTTATATAACGGAAAAAAAAAGAAATATGATTGATTGTATTGTAAGATGACTGACAACAAGAATAGTAAACGACGTATTTTTATACGAGAACATGTATATAAACGAGATAATTATTTAGATGAAGTTGAATTTGAATTTATTGATGACTTTGAATCTAATTCATCTATTGAACAAAATTATAGTTTATGGTTAAGACGAGATCATTATATGAAAACAATTTTACGACGATATGGTTATAGTGAAAATAAAATGCCAACATTTGAAGAATATATTGATACAATACGATCATTGATTGTTGGACATTGTTGTTCTGAATATGATCTTCGTCGAGCATTTCATATATTTGATCTTGATCAAAATGGTATTATTGAATTACATGAATTTTATCAATTCATAAGTATTATTGGAAGATCAACAACAGAAGATAAAATATCAAATTTTATTGAACGTATTAATATATCCGATGATAGAAATTTGAATTATGAACAATTTAAACAATTTGTTAGACTTGGACATGGAAGAGAAATGCTTGTTAATGTTAGTTTGTAACAATAATAAATAGAACATTCATCTAGTTTTGAATATATGAAGGACACATAGGTATATTTCATTAGAATATTCATTGTTTTTTATTTATTATGTAACATGAAGTTGACATTCTTGCATAAAATAATTGTTTTATTTGAACATCTTATTGGCTAATAAATCGTACACTTAA